AGGGCCTATCAGGCCCTGGAAAATTTCACGGCCGCCGCCTAATTTTTTTTCCCCCTTTGGGTCGTAGGCCTGCAGTGCCAAATTTTTTTTTTTTGAGGTTTTTGGGGGGTGGCGCTGAGGGTGCCCGGGTGCCTGCCCGGGGGGTCGCCCGGCCGGGCGCCTCGGGCGCCCTTCCGGGCGACCTGGGGGGGCCCGGGCGCCCGGGCCAAAAAGCTAGCTTGACATCCTATATCCCATGGCCTAACTTCTACACCTCATGTGATGCCCTGTTTTGTTTCATGTTATCTTTCTTATTTTTTCCCCTGCTAACCAGCATCAACGCCGACTCGAAAAACATATGTTCACCATAATCACCATCACCATGAAATCAACCATTTCCACGCCTCGTACAGAACTCACATAAAACCACACTAAAATGCGTGTCCAATTTCGCATTGACCCATACAAAAACACTTTCAGTCTACCACAACCCCAAACAACACTGTCAACTACATCAATAACCACAAACAACAACACCAATAGTCACAGGACATCAAACAACCGATTTCAACAGACACTATGTGCTTGCATTTTCAATATCCACAACCACTCTCTAGCCCGCACATTCATACCAGTCCGTCAGACAAACGAGCACAAAGAAATTCACAATTCGCAAACCACGAGCACTCCATCAAACACATTTTCACAAACCTTACCAGATTAGACTGCTTCTATTCCTAAACATCCAAAATGTATGAAATTGAAGACAATATAGACACAAAAGCAGACAGAAACAACAAAATTCAAAGAAGTCTCACCCATCCCTCCATTACACCTCCCACAATAATCAACATGACGTTTACAATCGCAGTATTCCTTAGAACAACACCACATAACAATCTCTAGACCTCTCAAGATGTTCCAGAGACGCAAGGTCCAACAATCAACTGAGATGAACAAACACATAGGTACCTCCCCCCCGCCCCACCACCACCAAATTCAATCACAAAGTGAAACAATGTCCTTTCAACCACACACACTCGCATCTTTATCAACACACAGCTGACCACCATGAAACCAAGGGCCTTGGCAATCTCATCCTCCCCGAGCCGAAAAGTCCAAAGCTAGACCATATTCCAATATCTATACAGTAAACAACAAAAAACAAAGCACTTACAAACAACGATTTTGTGTAATGACGAGCAAATACACACACAAAAAGGCAAACAGTAAACATTTTGTGGTCCTTTTTATATACAAAAGATACACAACACAATACCTTCAGAACAACACCGCAACCACAACAACAAATTATAGTACATATTTCCCACCAGAGTTGGCACATCGCCACCGAATCGTACACAATCTCAAAAGACCTACACCCCTTCCCCCCCTCACATAACTCCCCAAGCCAATGAAGAGGTATAAAATCAAAGCCTCCCAATACGCACCCCGGAAAACACAACGGTAAAATCTTCTCCAAACTCTGCTATATGTCACGCCCGACTATTAGGATATCATAACAGTCAAACTCAAGGTAATATTCAACTGGCGCACCAATGCCATCTTGGTAGTCAACCGTCATCTCCTGAGTTTGCAAGGATTCAAAAGTCAACAATCTATCAAGTTCAGCTTGTGTCAGTACACCTCTTGATCATCTACCACCTCAAAATATTTTTTAATCTCCGAGCGAACATCTCTGCTGCGAAATTGACGGTTGTAAAACCCTCGGTCAACACTCGTTGGAGTATCTTCAAACTTCCTTTCCATGCCAACCTCCCACCTTCTCCCCGCACGTTGGACAAGACACTTACAGAACAGAACACAACATACTCTCTAGGTAAGCATACTTTGTTTGCAGCTTTTTCAAGGACTTCATCAGCATGTCGAATTCAACTGACGCTCATCTTCAACAACATGCACAAAAACCTCACGAAACACATCTACGACTCGAACGAGTTCAACAGCCATATGCACGTTTATTTCTATTGACATGACGTAGACTGTTGCTCACATATCCTTGTGCACAACTTCCGAAAATCCCGGTAGCCACCAACGAGAAGTTCGTTCTGTGAATCGATGGCAATATCTATTTCAGATGTACCCATTGGGTACTCCAACGCCGCCCCAATCTCAACATGTACCATATAGAATACAGTAGTGCCTCGTTTAAGCATTGTGAGACACATAGCGTTGATAGAACATCCTTCTTCTCTAGACACTTAGCGAAACAACCTCCAGAACCACAAACAAAGGTCTCAGTATTTCGATCGTATCACCCTTCGACTCCATAACTGCCATCATTCTTTGCACCTCACGGTCCAAATGAATAGCCTTCTCTATCCACTCCATAATCTTTAATATCAAGTAGTTGTTCGCCCCCAACAAATCAGGTTATCCCTCAACCGTTTCAAATGCAAAAATGATACTGGGCCATCTCAGCAAAACCACTCTCCCTGCAAAACACTCGCACTTCGAAATCCCGTGAAGAAAGCATTGAAACCTACCGTCCTCCGATCATTTCCAATTCGCACAATCGGCCACGAGGGGCGAATTTTGACCACCAGTACCTCAGTCAAACTAGTATTAACCTCGTGACACAGAGGTGAACACAACAAACCACGAAACTCCTCCATAGACATATTCACCTTAATCAACAACAATCTCAATCGATCCTCGTGCAACTAGTGCCCGCTCCTTAATGCCATATACACGTCACGCAACTCGTAATCTCTGTTTCTCACCTCTAAAAGCTCTTCTCGAGAACAAATATGCAAAGCAGCATGAGGCATCCTCATCGAAATACATTGCGGATCTCAGGATCAGAGGAATACCTCGAATAGTAGAAACGTGATAAAGCACTTCCAAATATCCCCTCACCCGACCCACTCCATGAGGTTCATTCACCTGATGTCAACTTGATACAACCTTGATGATACAATATACAGTCACATATTGTTGCATACTCGTGAAACACAGTCCTAAGTATGGCGCAGATTCCCAGAACCGACGAGATAATACAGAGTTGATACGAATACAGCGGAAGAGTTGATACCCATGGAGTGACTCTGACCTGACCCGGACTGCAATCAAACACTCTCAATCATTCATCCGGGGTGTGAAAGCCCTGGCCTTGGACATAGACGAAAGGCCAGGGTCTAAGATCATCCACGGACGAATGGAGGGAGGAGAGAGACGAAGGGAGGAGGAGAGGGAAGATGACGTCAACTCGACGTTTCCCCACTTGCGACTACTGCCTCTCACACCTCTCTCTACTACTTCATATCTACCATTTTCGGCTACACACATGCACATCATGTTTCATAAGAAATAGAACTTGTACCTCCTGATGACCATCCATTGAAGGAGGGTCCTGTGACTGTTTGCCCGGGAAGTCCGCTGCGGAGGCTGGAGTGTAGACTGCCAACTTTGAAGCGTGAAATATCAGGTGGACTGTCAAATGCGGGGGAATCTCAATGATGAAAGATGGACCCGCGGGGTCGTCGCCAGCTGCTGAAGTGACCTTCCATGGTCCAAACCACTTAGGGAGGAGCTTGCGCGAGACGTGGTGCTCGAGCGCAAAATTCCTCGGAGGTGACCCAACACAGGTCGCCAACGCGGATTGGACATGGGATGCGACGCCGGTTCGCTTGCTGCTGCATACGGACCTGAGCCTTTTGCATGTTTGCGCGGGCTTTGGCCAGCAGTTCCCTGTACTTCCGTGTAGAAGTAGGGGAGCAAGCGGCGTCGATATCGGCAGCCCGTGGAAGCAAAATGTCTGCGAAGATACGTCATTTCCATCCGCCGTGGTGCAACTCGAATGGAGTCACGCCAATCGCGGGGTGCACCGAAGTGTTGTAGGCGAACTCGATGTCGGGAAGGCGGCCAACCTAGACCTTCTGATCCAGGCGGATGAGTGTGCGGGGCATCATCTGCGCAGTCTGGTGCGCACGTTCCGTTTGCCCATCCGTTTGAGGGTGTTGTGTGGAACTCGGTTTCATACTGGTGCCGGATTCCACCATGAGTGTCGTCCAAAAGGCTGACATGAAACGAGTGTCGTGGTCGCTGACGATGTCTTCCGAAACGCCGTGGCTGCAAAACCAGCCAGTATGCAAAAGTCGTGCAAGCTCGGGAGCCGTCGCATGATACTTGCAAGGAAGAAATTGAGCGTACTTGCTCAAACGGTCAACGACCGTGAGAATACCATCATGGCCAAGGCGATCGCAAGGGAAAGGACCGGTCACATCCATAGGAATGGAAAGACCTGGTTCCCGAGAAATCGGCAATGGTTTCAGTTCATCGTACGGGAGCTGATGGCGCCCTTTGTTCCGGTGGCAAACTGCACATGACTGAATGTACCGGTTGACGTCGCTGATGATGTCCGACCACAGAAATCGTTGGCGGAGTCGTGCATGTGTGCGTGTGACGCCAAGGTGTCCCGCCAGCAGCGAATCGTGGTATTCGCCAAGGAGGCGAGTGCGCAAGATGCGGTGTTGGGCAACACACAACAAATCCTTGCCTCGTGTATGGAGGAACAAGTAGTCGTCGACAATGCGATAATTGCTTGCCGGCGGGTGATCCGATTATAAGTCCGCATAGAGTGTGGAGAATCCCGGATCCGACTTGTAGCCATTTACGAAATGTTGTTGCAGGTCCTCGTCGAGGCCGAATGTGGAGTGCACCAAGGCGTAAAGATCTGGTCTTCGCAAGAGAGCATCCACTGCCTTGTTCGAGGAGCCCGGAATGTGCTTGGAGGTGAAGTCGAACTGGTCAATGAAGCACATCCACCGACCGCTCGTGCTACTCATCGTGTCTTGCATCTTGTAATAAGTCAACGGATTGTTGTCCATTGCCCATGTAAATCGCCAACGCCAGAGGAGAAAGTGACGCCAACGCTTAAGTACGGTGACAAAAGCTAGGAGTTCCTTCTTCCTCGCATCATCAAGAGTGTCGATGGGCGGCACCTTTTTGGTTGAAGTACTCAACCGGATGCCAGTCTGTGTCGTCATGCTGTTCCAAAACCGCGCCAATGCCGTAACCGGAAGCATCCATAGTCACTTTGGTAGGCAAGGTCGGGTCATAGATGCTTAAGACGGGAGCTTGGAGCAAGCCGTCTTCAGCGTATGAAACGCATGACGGGCTTCGTCGTTGAATTCGAAGGGCACCAATGGGACTGAAGTCGCGACAATGGTGCAACGATTTGCTGAAACCCTTTGCCGAAGCGCATGTAGTAAGATGCTAAGCCAAGAAAGGAGCGGACGTCGGTAGTACACTTTGTCCGCGAGCAGATGAATGCCTTGCGGCGTAACGTAATGGCCTAAGTACTTCTCTTGCTGGGCAAACTCGCATTTCTCGCGGTTTGCCTTGTACTTGGCGATACGGAGCCGGTCCAACACGGCGCGAAGGTGCTCGAGGTGCTGGTCCAGCGTCCGATTATAAACCAAGATATCATCAAGGTAAACGAGTACGGTGCGGTCGAGCAAGTCGCAAAATTCCTTTGTCATAGCCGCTTGGAAAGTAGTCGGGGCATTGGTGAGACCGAAACACATGGCGATCCACTCAAAGTGCCAATATCGCGTCTTGGACGCGGTCTTGTACCTATCTCTTGGCTGGATCTCGATCTGGTGGTATCCGGACTTTAGGTCAAGCTTCGAGAAGTACTTGGCGCCGCCTAGCCGCTCGAGAAGATCATCGATCCGAGGGAGAGGGCCGACGTTCTTGATTGTTTGTGCATTAAGCTTCCGATAATCGATGCACAAACGAAGGTCCTTGTTCTTCTTCCGGATGAAGAGAACGGGACCACCGTATGGCGAACAGCTAGGGCGAATCCAGCCCTTGGCCAAGAGGTCGTCTAGTTGTGCCCGAAGCACTTGAAGCTCCTCTTCGCTCATGCGATAGATACATCCGCGCGGAGGTACAACGCCGTCCTCGAGAGTGATCCCGTGGCGTATGGGCCGATCCGGTACTACTCCGGCGGGAGCTTGGAAGACATCCTCATAGCTGTCCAACAACTCGATGATGCGTGGGTCCAACGTAACCGTCTTGGGCTGATCACCGGGTGGTAGGGCGTGAAGAAAACATATGCCCCTCTCCTCCATGTCGTTCCGCCGGATGGATTGGCAAATGCTCGCCGCGGAAACCACGTGACAACCAATCGAAGGATGAGGAGGAGGCACCGTACACGGGACTAATTCGCCACGCCAGTCACGAACGTGAACAGTGCGTCGATAGAAGTTCACCGGATGGTCTTCGCTTTGCAACCACGACATGCCTAAGATCATATCGAACTTAGTGTCCAATATGTCGAATGACACGGCCTCGCATGCTAGCGGGGCAAAGTACACGGGCACCGAGTCAACGCAGCGGTCGATTGACTTTTGCGCGTGACCATCGGCCAACGTGACGTGCGTAGGCTGACTTTTCCTTCGAATGCGCGGGCCAAGCCCAGCGCGTGCCATGAAGTCTTGGCTGATGTAGTTGTGAGTCGCTCCACAATCGATCAGGGCACTGGAGGTCGCCTTTCTGATCTGAATACGGATGTAGAGGAGCGGCACGTCGATGTCGACGTACCGTTGCATTGCGTACTCGCGGTCGATCTTCGCAAGATAGCTATGAAGGTCAACAACCGCTACTCCGCCGTCTGTTGACGGAGGTGGTACTGCAACGTGCAAGTATTCGCGCAAATGTGTCATTAAGGCGTTGCAATGCGGAGTTGGCAAAGAACCGGTGGAGGGAAGAAGCAACCATTGGAAGTCCTCAACCATCAACGGGTAGAGTTCCTCAAGACTCGCCCAAAGTGACGGATCCTCCGATAGAAGGGCTGGCGAAGCAACCGGTTCGTTGTCCGACAACGTAACTACCGCCCATGCGCTTGAATCTTGCACATGGAGAGGCTGGTTCAACGGTGGGACCAGCTCGACAACATAGTTCTCAAAATTAATGCAAGAACTTACGACTACCTCGGTGTCCCCGGACATGAGAGAGACTACTAGCAAGGTTGTCGAATCCCACGGACTGGGAGGTGTTGTCGCTGCACTTCCCGCGGTGCTCAGTTTCTCGGGCCTTGACGTTTGACATTTTCCTAATCCTTGTCGAGGCACGCGCTTGTGGCGTGTTTGGTGCTGTTGCACCACAAACAGCATCCCCATTTATGTCTCAACTTGAACATGTCTTCGGTAATACCGAACTTCGTCCATGGTGACTGTCGTGCTCCATCCGCCGACACTGGTTTCGCCTTATGTTTTCCCCCTCAGGGTCTTGAGCATTGCGGTGGTATCGCTGCCGCCACATCTCCGTCCCTTGATGTCGATGCGGCTGCGTGGTCCTCACTAGGTCCTTGCTGGACTGTTGTTACTTGCGACGTCCGTTGACCTTTGCCTTTCTCCACGTAACCGGGCTGTTGGCGGGCCTCGTTGGCCGCGCACCGGTTACCTTGGATTAGTTCTCTTGCTTTTGAGATCATGTCATCAAAGGTCTCATACTGGAATTCGCTGCCGAGAGCCGTTGTCAAGGCGTTGCATGACCGAGCGAAGAATCTGGCCCGGATTGCGTCGAACGGTAAGTTCAACTTCGGGGTGGCGACGAGCCTTTGCCACTCCGTCAGCCACTCCCGTGAAGGTTGCTGGCCTTGAAACATGCGGAAGATCTTGTTCAAGGCGTGACGCTTGTTATTGTTGACCATGAACTGGGTCTTCCATTTCTTCTGGTCTTGGTGTGATGGTGGCGATGGTGCATTCCAATGTGACTGCCATGTGCGTCATGAAGGCCTGCGCCCCTCCAATGAGTTGGAGGTAGAGTGCGTCAAGCCGCCGCAGTGCTGGAGTGTGATGCACGCCCGCCTCTGCGTTGAATGCCATCCACCATTGCAACGGATCAGTCTTGTGATAGTCGTCGAACTTCTCGATCTTGAAGTTCGGCATCTTCCATTCCTTGGCGACAGCGGCCGGCCGTTGCTGAACGTGGTCGCTGAGCGTCTGCAGATGATTGCTGAGTGTCGACGCTCCAACAAACTTGCTGATGTTGCCAAGGGAGGCGACCACGTGGTTGATCCGCTCCTCGAGTTGTTTGGCCTGCACGGCCAAAGCTAGGCTGCAGTCTGCCATTGCGCTGCCCGTTGACGCAGCTGTCAACAGTTGTGCCAACCCTATGCTGACATCGGTCTGCAGCTGGTCATTGAGTGTTTGCTGCTGGCTGTTGGCGGCGTGTAGTGTGCTGATTTCGGCCTGCAGGGTAGCGATATTCTTGTCCAATGCTTTAAACGTTGTTTCGTGGCGGATGAAGACCTGCCGCATGGCCAGCAGTTCACGTTGCTGCCTATTGCACGAGTACAATAGATTCTCCATCAAAACTGTTGTGCCCTCCTTGTTTCTCTCTTCCACGGTCGGCTCCTCTTGTTCTTGTTTGCTCGAAAGTGCTTTTGTCGGAGTATCCTCCGATGCATGGCTTCTTCATTGGCAAGCTCCATTGTAGCTTGATAACGAACTTGGTTCTGACTTGCCTCGGCCTGTTGTTGTTACAACCGTGCGGCTGCTGCAGCTTCTGCTGCGGCTTGCTGACGTGCTGCCTTTGCCTCTGCCAGCTGCCGTTGAATTTCCTACTGGCGGGCGACTTACTCCTCTTCCCACTTGCCCGGTTCAACTGCCGTGGTCTCCAAGTAGAGCTGGAGACGTTTGAGAAACGCTAGGAGCGGTTCATCGGCCTGCTGAACTGGGATAGGAGGGGTAACCGACCTCTTGGGGCTGGCTTGATCATTTGCGTCAGCGGTAGCAGCCATGGTCGTGCGTCGCCTGCGCGGGATCCGAGGTGTCTCAGGTCCCTGTTGGGGCTTGGTTCCTTTGGGTCCGCGCTCCGCAAGTCGTTGACTGCGGCGCATTAAGTACTTTGGTCTTCGTCTGCTGCTGATGTGTCACCGCCGAGGTGCCACCTGCTGATGTGGCGCTGCCGAGGTGGCCGCTGCTGACTGGGCACTCGGCTGTCGTGGCACACTGAGGTGGCACACGGCTGATGTGGCAGTCTACGTTCGTGGCCCGCTGCTGATGTGGAACAATGCTGACGTGGCCGGAGACTGACGTCTGTAGTACCAAGAGGAGGAGAGAGAGAAGGAACGGGTGGAGGAAGGGCAGAGAGGCAACAATGCACAAACAGTCCCTTTCTCCCCTGACCTCGAATATTTGACACTAATCAAAAAGAGAAAAAAAAATAAAAAAAAATACCTCACCCCCCCTCTTGAAAATTTCGAATTTTGAGAAATTAAATAACTTTTTTTGATCGAAAAAAATACAAATTAAATTCAATTAATAAAATTTAATTTTGGCAAAAGATTAAATATTTAATTAAAGAATATATAAATTTGCAATAATTAATTTCCCTAAAGTTAAGTATTTAATTAAAGAATATTTAAATTTGCACAAATAAAAATGAATAAGTTTAAGCAAGTTTAAAGTTAAACATAACTTTAATAATTTCACGAAATTTAATCGGGGGAATTTAGCATCATCACGAGGTCACCAAGTAGAAGATGAATGATAATAGGAAGATACACAATTTGCTGGAAAGATTCAACCTTTCAACGCAATAAAAGATGCATTTTGCAAAAAGTGAAAGTTCCGTGAAGTTGCAGTTTGAATGTGGTCGTGCTCAGGCCCGATTTGCCTTTTATTTGGCGCGGTGCCTGGCTGGCACTTACTTCCCATAGGTATGATAGGTCGTCAGATTAGGTTAGGACTAACCCTAATTAGCGTTAATTAGGTTAATCGTGATTAGCAATTCCTAATTTGCGCAGTATGGAGCAAAATCGCAAAACCTAAAATTCCTAATGACCTAATTACCATGAAGTACGACAAAAAAAAAAAAATTGCAACTTGAGATTTAATGATAACAGAGTGCAGGTGTAGATAATCAATCAATCAATCAATCAATCAATGGTGAGTCATCCAATGCTTGTCTGCTCCAATACCAAATTGTTGCATACTCGTGAAACACAGTCCTACGTATGGCGCAGATTCCCAGAACCGACCAGACAATACAGAGTTGATACAAATACGGCGGAAGAGTTGATACCCATGGAGTGACTCTGACCTGAACCGGACTGCAATCGAACACTCTCAATCATTCATCACGGGCGTGAAAGCCCTGGCCTGGGACATAGACGAAAGGCCAGGGTCTGAGATCATCCACGAACGAATGGAGGGAGGAGAGAGACGAAGGGAGGAGGAGAGGGAAGATGACGTCAACTCAACGTTTCCAAAGATAGTATCTTGAAATGTCAGAGATGGCGAAAGTCCGAAATGTCGTGAATAAAATGTCCCACAATGTCTGAGATATCGATCTCACAATGTCAAGTACATCCCCAGAGGCAGATGAAATCAGATTCCACAAGTAGTCCTCAACCTATAGTCCCAATGTTGCTGTCTCCAATGTCATCAGAATTCGTAACCATCTTTCATACTCATCGTAGTCCCGTAGGAGAACTCAGAAGTAGACTTCGACTGAGAAGGTAGGAGGAGAGAGAGAGAGAGAGACAGAGGGAGAGAGAGAGAGTGGCGGAGGAGGAAGAGGGAGAGAAGGCGAGGCCTTTTCTCCTCGGTACCTGTCTGATAGCTATAGCGCTGCAGGGGCTGGCGTTGGGCCGCAGATTGGGCCGGTGGCTGGCGCTGGTCCTGCTGTGCTGGTTCCTCCTCGCCGCTGCGTTGGTCTCTCCTCGCTGCTCGCTCTAACGCTGCTGCGCTGCGCTAATTTCCTAACGCTGAAACGCTGCGCTAATCCTGAAGACTAACTCCAACCTTTCTAACCTTCGGTCCATACTAACTCCCCACTGAGGCTGGCACCCAGCCTTTTGTAGTGCTGGGCCAGCCTCCTACCTGCTGGTACCTACCGGCCTAGACCGTTGATCTGAATTGACGGTCCAGATTCGAACTGGATTTGGCACCTAAACGCGGCAGCCTTTGAAACTGTGCCACTGGTAGGTCCTATGCTGGACCGGTACCGGCCTTGTGGCCGTTGGCCTGGGCCTCTACCCCTGGCCTGCTTGGCCTCATCTGAACCGTCGTCCCCTTAGGCCTACCTTGCCTATCTGGGAACCGGGCCCTAACTGGGGCCCATGTGGCTCAGAATGCCACACATACTCGATACAAAAACATACCAACAATCAAATCTACCACCAAATTGTTGTTGCTACCCCACATTCCTAACAACATCATACTAACAAATGAGAAATACTATGAAATCATCCAACACAACTACCTTCATCGACACACCACAACCTTTAATCAACACAAACTTTATTCCCTCCACACATTTTCTCACAAAACCATAAGAGACCGTTATATGCTAAACTCAAAACCGAAAATAAAACAAAGGATAACACCGAACAAAACACATACACATTCCCACTTATAAACAAAACCCACATACAAACAGCCGACTTTTTTTAAGAAACAAAAACAGCAGCAGCCATATTGTACCTTTTGCAGACATCCAACACCCCCCCTCGAACCCACTCCCCCACTTGGGCCTAAGCCCCACCCTCGACACCCCCACCCCGCCAAATCATCAAACAAAAACAAAAAACCATAACCACAACTCTTGCTTCAAAACAAACTAAGCATCAACACGCATGTCCACCGTTTCTTTAACATACAACTCAAAACACACCCACTTCGCACTTGCAAAATTGTAAACATAAAATACTTAATCATGGCCAACGCATACATCACTATCCCCATTCGTTTCACTATCCTCGCAAACATTATCAGGATGTTAATTGCCTACATGCCAAGCTGCTTCAAATGATCAATACACACCATTACATAGGACGTTAGATATATCCTCCATTGTCTCCACCGAAATTCGTACGACGATGGACAAAGAGAGGATTTCTCAATCGCTCAGCACAGTCAAATTACATCGATTCCATAGAACATGATGACCTCCCGAAGGGCCGCTGTAACTTCTGACCACCGCGTGGAGCGTTGCTTGCCCCCAACTTTTTCCCTAAACGATNGATGACCTCCCGAAGGGCCGCTGTAACTTCTGACCACCGCGTGGAGCGTTGCTTGCCCCCAACTTTTTCCCTAAACGATTATGGGTTTCGCTATCGGAGCAGACACCCTTACAAGGGTATCTTCTTGGGAAAGTCCTATCCGTCGCGAGAGCGGCGGCGTGCTCAGGTTTTTCGAAGTCGGACGTTGTCTGACCTTTTCGTTGAATTGAAGGACTTGATGAGACTGGCGTTTTTCATTCAGACTTAGCCTATGACCAAGAGAGGGGGGTGCCGGTTGGCGGGGTCCTCTTTGCCAGGTGTGGCTGGGAGGAGCGACGTGTCGGTCGGGGCGGGGCGGTTGGGTACACCGGCGGAGAGAGAGAGAGAGAGAGAGAGAGAGAGAGAGAGCCGGTCGGGTGGACCGCCGGGAGGCGTTCGGAGGTGCGGCGGGCCGGTCGGGTGGAGCGAGGGCGGAGAGGGCCGATAGTGTGGTTGGCCGGAGCGACGAAGATTCAACCACGTAGTGTATGTTTCCATGTTCTAGCCGAAGATTCATTGGATGCTGCTCATCCTATCGATGGAAGTAGCATGGCGCGAGCCGCGAGGTCGAAGAGTTATTGTCTCTCTCTCTCTCTCTCTCACACACACACACACACACACACACACACACACACGATTCATTCCGATTTTGCTAAAACAGTGGCAGTGTATATTTCCACGTTTCAACGGAAGATTCATTCCGTTTTTTCTTATCCTATCGATGGAATGTGTGTGTGTGTATGTGTGTGTGTGTGAGAGAGAGAGAGAGAGCCGATAAGTCTCCAACCCCGCCGCACGCTACTTGGATCGATAGAATGAGCAAATCAAAAAATGGCAGTGTATATTTCCACCTTTCAGCGGAGGATTCATTTCGTTTTTGCTCATCCTATCGATGGAATGTGTGTGTGTGTGTGTGTGTGTGTGTGTGTGT